CCTGCGCCGTGTGCCGCGCTTCGTGGCCCCATAGGGGGCTCCACCGAAGGTCGCAGTAGCGCAGTCCGCATGCGGTTCCTGCGACCAGTATAGCACCCAATGTCCCCGTAGGGAGCTCCACCGAAGGCCCTAATGGCCGAAATCACATGCGGTCCCCCCGCCCAGTGCGGCCTCTCATGTCCCCATGGGGAGCTCCACCAAAGGTCGCAGTAGCGCAGTCCGCAAGCGGTACCTGCGACGAGTACAGCGTTCAGTGTCCCCATAGGGAGTTCTACCGAAAGTCCCAATGACGCAGCTCACATGCGGTTCCCCCGCTCAATACAGCGCTCCGTGGCCCCAGAGGGAGCTCCACGGAAGACGATACCCACAACTGCGGTACTCACTACTGCATATGGTTGAGTTCTTCGCCAAACTAACTGAGTTCTTCGCCAAACTAACTGGTGTTTCCAGAATTGGGGCGTGCACAGTGTTGTCCCTTGTCACGGGTCGAGCTGAGGCGTGAACAGTTTGACCAGAATATGTGTTACCTCCGTATAACGCGCAAGCAAGAACACTGTGTATAACGTGCAAGGCCGCGGAAGAAAAACGTAAAACACGTTTTAAACATGGTCGTTGAACGTGCACGGCCGCTGGCTAAAACACATATGTGTTTGCGTGTTCTTTCAACGTCCAGGGCTGCGGGGCAAGTGTTGTGTTTCCTGATCTCTTGTGGTTCAGTCAACCTCCAGGAATGCGCAGCCTCAAGCATCTATGAACTAATTGTTTTCTACATCGCTCGTAACGGCGCAGCCTAAATTATGTGAGCCTTATTTCAGGACTAGCAGGAGTTAACGTACCCCAGCGAAACTAAGTTAAACGTGAGCTTGAGCTACGAAAAGTACCCAAAACACGATGTTAAAGCACTTACATCATGCCAATGTGTGACAACTATCTATATATACCGCGACTCCTACAACATTATCACCAGTTCGGCGTTATTGCAATCAGTTTGGCGCTCTTCCAAGCAGTTCGGCGCTGGTATGGGCAAGTCGGCGATCTTACGCACACATGTCGACCTCATACCTGGCCCGATTCTCTCACAACTAGCGAACTCAACTCACAACCCAAACCCAACTACACAGGCGCCCCTCATTCCGGCTCAGACTCGCACACTCCCCACGAGCCCCGCGGAGGGAAGAAGCACGAGGAGGAGCAGAAGGAGCAGACTGAGGGAGAGGAGAGGACGGGGAGGATCCGCAGAAGCGGGGGCACGAGACGAGCACGAGGAAGAGACACTGCACGGGGAGAGGGAGAAGAAGAAGGAGCGCGAGGAGGAGCAGGAACAGAAAGAGAAGAACGAGCGCAAGCAAACAGGAGGAACGCCAACGAACTCTCGAAGGGGGCTGGCGTGGTCAAGAAAGACGTGACACGAACACGTCGGCTGCACCCCGCAAAGTCAACCCGTCGTCCTCCCCGCGCCTCCCTCTACCACTCTCCGTCTCCTCCTGACCTGCTCGTCACCTCTTGCTCCCCCAAACCGCTACCTCATCAACCTCACCCTCATCCTCGTCCTCCTCCTTGCTCCTCCTGGTACTCCTCCTCATCCTCCTGCACTTCCCCGCTCCTCATCTTCATCCTCATCCTCATCCTCATCCTCATCCTCCTCATCCTCATCCTCATCCTCATCCTCCTGATCCTCATCCTCCTGATCCTCATCCTCCTGATCCTCATCCTCATCCTCATCCTCATCCTCATCCTCATCCTCATCCTCATCCTCATCCTCCTCCTCCTCCTCCTCCTCATCCTCATCCTCATACTCATCCTCATCCTCATCCTCATCCTCATCCTCATCCTCCTCATCCTCCTCATCCTCCTCATCCTCCTCATCCTCCTCATCCTCCTCATCCTCCTCCTCCTCCCTCCCTCCTCCTCCTCCTCATCTCCTCATCATCATCATCATCATCATCATCATCATCATCATCATCATCATCATCATCATCATCATCATCATCATCATCATCATCATCATCATCATCATCATCATCATCATCATCATCATCATCATCATCATCATCATCATCATCATCATCATCATCATCATCATCATCATCATCATCATCATCATCATCATCATCATCATCATCATCATCACATCATCATCATCATCATCATCATCATCATCATCATCATCATCATCATCATCATCATCATCATCATCATCATCATCATCATCATCATCATCATCATCATCATCATCATCATCATCATCATCATCATCATCATCATCATCATCATCATCATCATCATCAGCATCAGCATCAGCATCAGCATCAGCATCATCATCATCATCATCATCATCATCATCATCATCATCACCATCATCATCATCATCATCATCATCAGCATCTCATCATCATCAGCAGCATCATCATCAGCATCAGCATCATCACCATCACCATGACCATCATCATTCCTCCTTCCGCTCGCGGTATCCTGTCGGTCTGAAAGGCTTCCTGTCGCCCCGCGCGCGCGTGCGCGCATGCGGCTGCAGCACACGCTTGAGCGTACGCGTGCGCTTGCGCGTGCAGCGTGCAGCGCGTGCCCTCTGGTCGCGCTTGCGCGCGCACGCGCGCGCGTGCAGAGCGTGCGCTCGCTCGCCGTGCGCGCGCGGCGGCGGCGGCGGCGGCAGTCCCCGCCTCGACCTCGCCCCCCGCGAGCGCGGCGACGGCTCCGAAGCCGCGCGGCGTCAGCGCGGCGACTGGCGGCGGGGGCCCCGTCGCGGGGGCACTGCCGACGGCCACGGCGGCGCTGCGGCGGCGGCGGGCAAGCGGCTGTGGCGGCGGCACGGCCTCGCCCTGCCTCGAGCGGAGCCGTGCTCGGGGCGCCTCCTGAGGGGCGGCGCCTGCTCTCGTGCACCCCGAGATGCTCGTCCTGGAGAGCCCCTCGCTGCACTCGCGAGTCGACGCCGCGTCGAACGTCCGTCGACCCGAGTCGAACTCGAGTCGAACTCGAGTCACGAGGCGGCGGAGGAGGAGGAGGAGGCGGAGAAGAAGGAAGAGGAGGAGGCGGCGGAGGAGGCGGAGGAGGAGGAACAGGAATAGGAGGAGGAGGCGGAGGATGCGGAGGAGTAGGAGGTGGAGCAGGAATAGGAGGCGGAAGAGGAGGATGAGGCGGAGGAGGCGGCGGAGGCGGAGGCGACGGAGGCGGCGGCGCTGCCGCCTGCGCAGGAGCCCGCGGCCGCGGTGCCCCCCTCGAGGGCGCTGCAGCGGCCCCGCGGACGGAGCGCCGTGCCGCGCCCCGGCCGCTCGGAGCTGCCGCCGCACGGCGGGCACGGTCCCTGGCCTTACGTCGGGCCTGTCCCCCTACAGCGGGATTTTCGACGAAAAATGAAACATACCCCCCAAATAATAAAAACAAATAGTCCAAACATAGTCTGGGGACTATGTTTTGATTATTGTTTGACCTTTTGGGAATATGTCTGATGTATTTTTTATGTTTCCTCGAAAATCCCCCTGTAGGGGGACAGGCCCGACACAACCCTGGCCCGAAGGGGCGGGCCTTGGAAGGTGTGCCGTGTCTTCGAAGTGCGGGCAATACCTCTGTCCATCTCCAATTAGGGGAACAAAAAACGAAATAAACATAAAAACTCGGAGGTCCGCGCGGATTTCTCGGATCGGCGCTGGGGCCTCCCTGGCGCGCGGAGCGCGCCAGAGGCGCTGCCAGGGGGCCCCAGCGCCGATCCGAGAAATCCGCGCGGACCTCCGAGTTCTTATGTTTGTGCCACTTTGTGTTCTCCTACAAATGCAGCTTGGAGTTCCAGGCTACCTTCCCCAGAAAGCCGACGGCGCAGTGGGTATGAAAAAGCATCTGGCCCTGGAGGCTCGATCTTTATCCCGATCCCAAGTGCCGCGGCCTTGCGGCGCCCCTTCCAAGAACGTCCAAGACGCACTGGACATGAACGTAAATATTGCTCGCACGAAGGGCGCACGTGAGGCGTCGTAGCTCATGGCCTGCTCCTAGACCTCCCCAGGGCTGGAGCTGAACAAAGTCTCTCGTGCTCGTGCTGTTGTCGTTGGCCTTCGTTCCATCTCCGTTCTGGCCTTGCTGCGAGACGATATCGAAGCGAGAACGGTCCACGAGATCGCCAAAAGACCGTTTAGCTCGAGCCCTGGTTCTCCCTCGTGCTCCCGCTGCGAATCCACCTCTGTCACGTCGTGCTACTGCTACTCCTCGGTCCTCTCCTCCTTCTCCTCGTCCTCGTCCTCGTCCTCATCCTCCTCCTCCTCCTCCTCCTCCTCCTCCTCCTCCTCCTCCTCCTCCTCCCTGACCATCACCTCGAACTCGGGTATAATCATGAGGAATAATATTACATGAGCATGAACTGTTGGAGGACCGCGCGGATTTCTTGTATCTGCGCTTCGCGCGGAGCGCGCCAGGAGCGTCGCCAGAAGCGCCGCCAGGGGGGCCCGAGGGCAGACCCAAGAAATCCGCGCGGAGCTGTCGAACATCATGTTACTGGAAGCGTTCTTCCTCGAATCATTCGCATCCTCATCCGTCTTGCCCTTTCTCTCCCATTCTCTCCTCCTCTCCCTTTCTCTCCAGCTCGCCGCCTGTCGTCCCTCTCTCCCCCTTCACTCTTCCCCACCCCCTCCCTCGTCCTACCACTCCACCCTCGAGTGGAACTACCAAAACGCGACAATACTTCGCCGAGGAACCTTCAGACCGCAATCGCGCGAAGTGGCAACCGAGAAACGGGCGGGCCACGGCACGCCGCAATCTCGTATGAAGGACTGCGGCCTGACCTGTACTTGGAATTGTTCTGCGTAAGTGCTGTCAACGAAGTGCTGCGGGTGAGCACTTCCAGGAAGCAAAGACAAAGCATACAAAGATAATTGCGAACACACGCGCCATACCAGTGAATAGAACCTACTCGGCTCACCACGTCGGACGGAGCATGGCTCAGGCTGCTGCCGCGTGGCTGCAGACACAGGTCAGCCTGGCATTCTTGAATATTCTTACGCCTAGCCCCACGTACAGGCCATGTCTCCGCTCCACACGACCGAATCGATCGCAGCGCGGACATCAGCCAGCCGGAGGCTGTTGGGCAGAGGCATCGGGTGCTTCTTCAGACGAGCCCGGGGGGGGCACGAAAAGGGACGGGCGCGAGACATGATGGGAAATGATAGGGGGGGCTGGCTCAGCGGGGGGGGGGGACATGGAGCACTACAACGATTGCGTACATCACGGCGCCTGTGTACACCACAAGGCTTGTGATGTGTACACCGCAATGCGTACATCCACTATGCCTGTGTACACCACAGCTGCTGCTACGCCCGTGTACACCGCAGTGCCTGCGTACACCATAGTGCACGCCCGCGTGCACCGCGGCATCAAAAGTGCCCACGTGCACCACAGGCCATAGGCTGCCCGTCATGCCGCGCAGTGGACCGGGCCGGGGCGTTACCGTTATGGGGAGGGGCAGGGGGGGTGACATGTGTTATCCCGTGGTTGGATCAAACTATTGTCTCTTGCGGCCACGCCGTCGCGCGCTGTCCCGACCCTTGCCCCCCGCCGGCATGGACCAGGTAGCACGAAGAGAAGACGCGCGTCCAGAAGTACAAGAACACGACCGCCACCCTGCAGGTCCCCGCGTGGCCAGCCATGCCTGCCAGGGGACCAATCGCCCCCCGCGCCCCGGCCAGCACCTCCGCCCTGCCGCCCCCCCCCGCACCAGTGCAGGGGGACAAGCGAAGGCAAGCGGGAGGAGGCGAAGGGGCACGGGGAATGTCAGAGCAGGGCAGAGATAGACGACGGCAACTCAAACACTGGACCCCTTCCACGGGTCCGGTTCTCCATCCTGAGTCGTTTTTATTGACGGTCCCGAGGCCCTGGAAAGGGCCCCCAGAACCTAGACGTCTCTGCAAACGGTCAAGGCGTCTGTTCGTTCCGTTTTGACTTTCACGTTTCATGTTAAATCTCGTTTCCGTTGCATTTACGCTTTACTGGAAAATCGCAACACATGATGTCAATTCCCGTTTGCTGGTTCCGATTCGTAAAACTTTAAGTTTCAGCTTGCCGTGTTGTTTCCGTTTCTGTCTCTCCCTGTCAGGTGCTCGGTCATCTCGCGCACCCAAGCTATGACGAACGAGCAACACACACCCATACCGTTAGGGGGGTCGTTGTGAGGAGGACTGGCTGTGGGTATGGGTGCGGGTTGTCGGACCCTGTGGAACGCTCCCGTTCGAGCGGGGACCCCCATCCGACAACACGCACCCATAGCCCTCTCCGACCCCTCTATGGGTATGGGTGTGTGTTGTTGGTTCGTCAAGCTAAGGGCCCCTTGCATCCCTCAGCCGTCGGAGGAGGCGCCTGGAGCGGAAGAGGCGCTGCCGTCTCCGACGAGCACGGGCTCGGGCGGCCCGTCTGGGCACGCTATGCCTGGTTAGCGCTGCCATCCCGAACGCGCGGACCCCGAGACGGCTGCGTCGGGGGACTCAAGCAGCAAACTGCTCTCCCCATGTTCGACTCCCCGTTGCTCTCCTTGCCCGCCCGCTCTGTGATTTCTTTGTTCTTTGTACGTTTCCGGTACGTGTTCAGCCACCTTGAAGGTCGCTGGGGGGGCAGCGTTGTTTCCAGGGCCAGATCCCCGTACGCTCGGCGGGCGCGCTTGATCGGTCAACAGCAATCCTTACAGCCGCCCTTCGCGAGAAGCTCTGATTTCAGGTTTGCTCTTGCCGACGATTGGGCTGCTCATGCTTGCTCTGGCCCTACAAAAGCATTGCCCTCCCCCCCGTCGCCCCAGAACCACAGATCGCGCTCGCTGCCCCTCAGCGAGCGTCAGCACCCACCCCCCAGACATCTCGTGGAAGCCCACACCCACCGACGCAATCGTCTCAGCCAAGGGTTCCTGGACGGGGCCGAGCCCGTGCCCGTCGAAGACGGCAGCACCTCCTCCGCGCTGGGCGCCTCCTCCGACAGCGACTGAAGGGAATGCCGCTGCCCCATTCCTACTCGCGCGTGTCTGTTTTTTTTTTTTCTTATTTCGGGGGCCTTAAGAACTTTTTTTCTTCATTGTTTGTGTTGTCGGATTTCGTTCACTGGTGGCGCCCTCTTTTTTAGAACTTCGTTATTCCATGCGATTTTACATAACAAAAGCCGCAAACTGAATACGGGCAGCAACAACAACAACAACAACAACAACGACGATGACGACAACAACAACGATGACGACACCAACACCAACACCAACAGCAACAACAACAACAACAACAACAACAACAACAACAACCACAACCACAACAACAACAACAACAACAACAACAACAACAACAACAACAACAACAACACCAACACCAACACCAACACCAACAACAGCAACAACGATAAACAACATGAACAACATGGACAACATGAACAACATGAACAACATGATCAACAACAACAACAACCACAACAACCACAACCAGAACCAGAACCACAACAAACAAAAAACTATGTCCATTCTGAGAGACGCCCCGGAGGCCGGAGATAGCGAAAAACCTCCCGTCGCCATTCTGTTCACAATCCGAGGTACTCCAGATTCCATAATAAAGTCGGGGGGGTCACATTCGGGAGGGGTCTGATTTGAGCTGTCTTGGAGGGTTCGGGGGGGTCTGGGCAAAGGGCCGCCCTTTCATGGACGGTCTGGGAGGGTCTAAAACTTCTCGTCTGGGAGGGTTGAGACCCCCTCCCTTTTATTACGAAATCTGGAGTACCGCTACCGCTGCTCCCCCGACCTCTCCGTGGGGTGTGTTCCGACGAGGACTCCGAGGCGACTCCAGCGGTGGAGACGAAGGCCTCCAAAGAGGGCCCCAGAAAAGGCAAAAACCGAGGCAAGGGTAGCGACACGGGCGCCCTCTCATCCCTGAGGCTCAACATCGCTCCTCCTTCTCATCCTCCTGCTCCTCCTCCTCCTCCTCATCTTCCGCTTCCTCCCCCCACTCCTAGCCCTTTCGATCAGGGTCGGCGGCACCGGCCGTCAGGCCTCTCCAATCGGGCCTCCGACTCCTCCCAGGGTCTAAGCGCACCAGCTTGCGGAGCTGCGTCCCGCCGGAGCGCCGCGGGGCTGCCCCGAAGGCCCAAGGCCAGAGGCCGTGATCTCACCTCGCCCCGCCTCGAGGGAGGAGGGCCAACAGGCAACGGGGCATGGAAGGCGCAGGGCCCGTTGTGCTGCCCAAGGCCTGGGATGCCCATGTCCTGTGTGATGCGCAAGGACATACTAGTACTACCCATCGGTTGGAAGAAGTAGGTAGGAGCATGAACTAGGAAAGCGTTGAACATCTACTGGATGTCCGCCCGCCCCCTAACGAGGACGGAAAAGGTGAAGCCGCTCGATCATCGAAGTAGGAAGGCGCTTCAAGTAGGTTGAAATCTAGGGCTCCAACAATGCCTACTTTCAACGACCGATGGGTACGTGTCATCGGAGGCGCGCGTCCAACCCGAACATATAGTGCGACCACCTGGTAGTACATCGTTTCACGAGCGGCGTGGCCTGAAAGCGCCGCCACCGAGCAGGCACAAAAGGATGTACCGGCGCATGCGTCGCCCTTTTCTGGGGGCTCGCACACATGGTGTTCGTATGTTTGGTTGACGCCGTTGTCCTGCAAGCGTGGCCGGACCCACTCGGTGAACAGCAAGGTGGAGGGGGTGAGGAGCAGCTGCCCCAAACCGAGAAGGCTCTGAAGAAAGCCGTTCCACGTACCAAACAGCTCCACGGGCACGTAGTGGATGCAGAAGCGCTGCAGGAGGATCTGTCAAGGGGCGCAAGAACACACAAATAAATACACACAAATAAAATGATTCCCCTATATTTTCCTACATTTTCTGGGTTGCTGTCTTCCCGCCTGATTCCCTTATTTTCTAATATTTTCTGAGGGATCGACGATTCATTGTGTCTGTGTGTTTTCTCCTCCTGAACCTGCCACCCGCCCGCGAGCAAAGACAGGATGACCTGCGCACCCACCTGCGCGATGAAACTGCGCGTGCAGAGCAGTACGGACCCAACGAGAATGAGCACGTCGAGCCCGCATGCCGATCGTTTGAAGCCGACGCGGTCGACGACCGCTCCCGCCATCACCCCGGATGGTCGGGTGTTGCTAGAAGTGCCCCTGGGCCACCGTGCCCCCAGCTTTCCGCTCCATTCTGGAGCCCCTGGGGCCCTCTGGGCCTCGTGAGGGGTGCTCTGGAGGCCGTGGGGGTCTCCCTGGAAATCCTGAGGGAGCCTTGGGCCGGTGCAGAGGCAACTCCAGAGAGGTTTTAATGAGAACGATTAAAGGCTATTAAGCAGGATTAAAATGCCGTTTCACCGGAGCAAGCTGGATTAAGTCCGGGGTTAAGCCGCATCAAGCCGGATCAAGCGGGGCTACGCCGAATGAGGCCGTACTGGACCAAAGCGAACGGATGATCGACCATGAAAATACCAGCGCCGATACAGGATGAACCTTCCCAGGAGTTGCATCTTGGCTGTGGACAAAACTCCCTTTAATAGACCTCCCCTTAATTAAAGACGGCCTGGGACCGAAACCGACGGACCTGGACCCGCAAAAATGACGGCAGCGACGCCCTCTCGCGAACCGAAAACGGCCAATTCCTGAATCGACATGTCAGGGTAGGAGATCTATCCACTAGAGGCCTCCTAGATGGGATCGGAGTAGACGGGGCCGGAGGATCGCGCCGCATCGCCGATGCATCGCCGATACATCGGCGATGCATCGGCGATGCATCGGCGATGCACTGGCGATGCATCGTCGACAGCGGCGATGCATCGGCGACGCCATCGTGGAGAAAATCGGGCTCCACATCGAGCCGCATGGGCGATGCATCGGCGATGCGGCGCGATCCTCCGACCCCATCTGCTCGGACCCCATCTAGGAGGCCTAGATCCACCTCCGGGCATCCTGGGGCCAGAGGAAACCCGAGGCGCACTGGATATGGATACATCAGCCCCCTAGAGGCTCGATGTTTATCCATATCCAGTGCGCCTCGGCCCTGTGGCGCCGCTTCCCAAATAAGTCCAAGCGGCACTGGATATGGACATGAGTCTTGCACGCAGGAGATCGATCCACCTCCGAGCATCCTGGGGCCAGAGGCACTCCTGCCAACGCCCGAGACACGGCGCCCAGCGAGCCGGAGACGAGTCCTCGACGAGGGTCTCGGCATCGGCCTCGGGCGGCGCGCGGCAGCTTCTCGGGAGCGGCCAAGAGGGGGGTGTCCGAGAGGGGGGGGGTGCAAATCATGACCGGCGGCATGTGCGCGGCCCAGCGGGGGGGCCAGGGACGTAGTGAGATAAAGAAGAGGCGCCATAAGATCTGGGGAGATGTCATGGCCCCCGCCATGATATCCCCCCCCCTGGTCATCACCCCCCTCTTTTCCGCCCCCGAGCTTCGGGGGGAGCGGGGCCCTCCGGGAGGGGCTCCGGGCAGAGGGACAGGGCCGTGCACCCTGCAGAAAGGCCACAGGGAGGCCTTCTCGGAAGGCGCGAGGACGAAGTCCAACGAGCGGGGCGCCGTCTGAGAATCGGCGGCGAGCGAGGGGGGGAGGTGAGAGGGAAAGGGCCTTCTCAGGAGGCAGCGAGGCCTCTCGGAAGCCCTCGCGCCTTCTGAGAGGTCTTCTGTGTCTCCGGGGAAGGCTCAGAAAACTTCTCAGAAGGCTCGGGCTCGTGCGGCGTCGGCGCGCGCCAAGGTTTTTGTCACCGCGTCGATCATTCGACCTTGAATCGATCGGGGCCCTCATCGTTCAAGGTAGAATTCAGACAGATCCAGCGGAGTCACTGTGTCCATCGGTGCTTTCGCCGTCGCAAACTTCAACCTTGAACGCATTCGCCGGCGTTGCCGGCGCGCCAACGCCGCATGATCATACTGTTAACAGGCGGAGCACCTTCTTACAACAAGCCTCGAACCTACCCCTATCCTGAAGACTGTCAAGCTAGAAGGCAGTGATCATCTCAGGGATGCGCCCTCAGAAACTGGGGACATTCTGAAGGTCGGCACCGAGGTAAGGTGATGCCAAACAGAGGGATAGGGAATGTTTCCAGACGCCCGACGTCGCGATGTTTCCACGACGTCGCCCCCCAGAGGTCTAGACCCCTTTCCCCGGTCCCGAGCCCTGGTGAGGGCCGCTGGAGGCCAAAAATAGCGAAACCTTCCCGTCGTGGTTTTTGTCGCAGCGCGAGGGGGGTCTGGGCACACAGCCCCCTTCTGTTTGGAGTCCCGAAACGATGCGGTGACAGACCGTGCGGTGACCTCGGAATCCCCCAAGACCTCACCGCACGGCCCGTCAACGCACGGTTTGGGGGGGATTTCGGATGCCCCAACCGCCCGAGACGCCCTCGGAAAACGACCCGAGTCCCCCAACCGTGCGGTGACCCCGAATCCCCACCGACTCACCACACGGTGTGGTCACCACCCCGCTTGGGGGACCCGCGATTCGGAACGCCGCCGAGCCGTGCTCAACATGCCCCGGTAGAGCCCGTACATGTCTATGCTGGGGTCCGCGGCCCCCCGCCAGAGGGGCAGCCCAGGCTGCGGCGCGAGGGCCCTGCGAGCAGTAGTACACCAGGGAGGAGGAGAGAGGAGCCAATGAGAGAGAGAGTTGAGCAGGGACCGACCGTCCCGGCATTCCTATAGTTATACGTACCACGAAATGTTCTTAGAACCCAAAGATATGTTGTAAGAACAAAAACAATGTTCTTAGCACATAAACCCGATGTGTTAAAACAAGACAGTCCCAGTCCCAGTCGTACGTGTCTCGGTCTCGTGCACTGCTTCTTCGCACGAGGGTCCGAGACGCTCCTCGATGGCAGCGGCGCTCCGGGGCTGCTGACGTTCGGTCGGCCAGCCGCTGCCGAGCGAGCCTGCTCCCGAGAGAGAAGCTCGGGAAACGACACGGGGTTTGGCCACCGGGCGCTTGACCTGCCGCGCCGGCTGCCCCCCCCCTCGCCCCCCCCCCTCCCAGCCAGACTCTCTTGCCTGTCCCTGGGCGCGTGGGCATCTGACCACGGTCCAGGGAGGAGGCGAGGACGGGGGAGGAGGGAGGAGGTGGGAACGCAGGGGGCTGGATCGTTGCCTCTTCCCCTCCCTCCTCCTCGCTTCACGTCGCCCCCGACCCCCCCCCATGAGCGCTTTCTTCCGTCCTTCCTGCCCAGCGGGCGGCGGGCGTGGGCATCTGGCCACGGTCCCCAGGGGGGATGAGAGCGAGGAAGGAGGGACTGCGTACTTTGACTGCGTGGAGCAGAGGGTCCACCTCGCTGCGAGCGTCAACCGCCCCTGGAGGGCCTACGGGCAAGCGCAGCGGGGCGGCGTGTGGCACCCCGCAGGGGCGCCCCCGAGGACTGCCCCCTCTGGCCCACCCGATTGGTGCACGCGCGGAACACGCGGCTTCGCACAGGCAACCAGCCATCCGGCCACCCGTCTCCTCCTCCTCCTCCTCCTCCTCCTCCTCCTCCTCCTCTTCCCTCTCCCTCCTCCTCCTCCTCCTCCTCCTCCTCCTCCTCCTTCTCCCTCCTCCTCCTCCTCTCCTTTCCTCCTCCTCTCCTCCTCCTCCCTCCTCCTCCTCCCTCGCCCTCCTCCTCCCTCCTCTTCCTCCTCCTCCTCCTCCTCCTCCTCCTCCTCTTCCTTCTCCTCCTCCTCATTCTCCTCCTGTCGCTGCCCGTTGGGGAAACGGGGAGGAGAGATGGGGAAGCAGAGGTTTGGGTCATTCCCTTTCCCCTCTCTCTTTCTCGCTTCCCCCCGCCCCCCCCCATCCTGAGGAGGCAACTACTGGGAAGTTTTCGTCGGAAGGATTAAGGAAGATTAAGCCCCATTGGGGGGATGTTACGCCAGAATGGGCCTCGGATCAAGCGGGATTAAGCCGGATTAAGCGGGATTCAGCGGGATTAAGCCGGATTAAGCGGGATTAAAAAGGATTTAAGCGGAATTTCGTACCAGGGCTAAATCAGAATTCCACCTCCCAGGAGTTGCATCCGAACCCTCCCAACAGAAAGGAGTGTCCCACCAGCCCTTTCGGGCGCGAGTGGTCTGACGAGCTCGTTCTGGTGACTCCCCTCTTTCGGGGATGGACAGACCTCCCTTTAGTAAAACGTGGTTTAGTGAAAACGACCTCGGGCCCAAACCTGGCGGGCGCAAGCCTGGAAAATAACGGCCGCGGCGCCCTCTCGAGAACCGAAAACGGACAATTCACTAATCGACGTGTTATTGTTAGGAGGTCTGTCCGCCCCCGACTCTCCCCCTTCTGGGAGGGGCGGTCTGCCCTCTCCCTCGCCGCTCCCCCTGGGCCTGGAACCCCTCCCCGGAGAGGTGTCCGAGGGACCTCCCTGGCCTCAGACGGCCCCAGGAGGGCCCCCACAGGGCCCAGGATGGCCACCCAAATCGCTGAAGACATCCAAAAGATGGCTCAAAGGCAGCCCCAAATCTGCCGCCAAGAAACCTCAGGATCGCCTCAGGACGGCCCTCCGTGCCCTCCGCACCTCTCAGGGAGGCCCCCGAGAGGCCGACATCATTCAACAAGACTGTGTTCTTCTTTGTCGTTTGCCGCTTACCCTTTTCGCGTCCGCTGGGCTCTTGAGACCTCCATACGCCTCTACACGTCGGTCGGAAGAAGTAGGTAGAAACATGAAGTAGGAAGGCGGAAATAGTAGATTGGGTCCAGGTCCTCCCAGAGAATAACAAAACACAGGAAAAGCATGCCGATTCTTGAAGTAGGAAGGCGCTTGAAGTAGATTGGGATCTGGGGATCCAAAAAAAACACTTTCAACGAACGGGGTGTAAGGTGGCCCGACCCACGGTGCCTCGGCGACAATGGGAGGGGGGGCAGCGACGAACCCCGCATTCCAACGCCGCGGAGGCAAGCACGTCGTCGCCATGGACAGGTCTCGACCAGAGCTCTCGGCCCCGCCCTTTTTGCCATGTGGATGAAGGGCCCTGAAGCGAGTGGAGCATGAACCCAACAGTAAGATCAAGCCAGGAAAAGGATCGAGTCGCGTGAGGATGCATCGAGAATCTCTGGGACCCGGCGGTCCTGGAAGATATCTCGGGCGCCGCGGCCTTTTCAGAGCGTGCCGGATCGCTCTGAGAGCGTTCTGGTACGCTCTGGAACGGATTCATCCTCGTCCCCGGCCCTCCCGAAAAAAGCTCCCCCAAAACGACTATTTGCTACTCTGAAACCGTTGTTTTGACTGCCAGAAGGCCCAGGAAACGCCACAAACAGATCTCCACCAGAACTCTCTCAACTCGACCCCACATTTGCCATGAGGATAACGGATCCTGAAGTTAGCGGGTCATGGAGCCAACCGTAAGACGAAACCAAGACGAGGATAACATCGAGTGAGGAGAAATCGGGAATCTCTGAGATCCCGCGGTTCTGAAAGATGTCTCGGGCGCCGCGGCCTTCTCGCAACGTTCTGGAACGCTCTGAGAGCGTTCCCGAATGCTCTGGAACGGAGTCATCCTCGTCCCAACCGCGCCCGAAAAAGGCTCCCCCCAAAACGACAAACTTGGCACTCGGAAGCCTGTGCTTACTTCGCATTTTTGGGGGACTACCTGGTCCTGTAAATGGCAGTCTTTTCTTGTACTCCGACGTGGGTTCGACGCGGATTTTACGTGGATTCGACACGAATTCGACGCGGTCGACATGGACTCGATCGACACGGATTCGACGTGGATCGCGGCGCGACGGGACAGACGAGGTCCCCGAAGATGCAGCACAAGGCTGTTTTGGCTGCCAGAAGGCCCAGAAAACACCACCTGAGGCCCGGCTCGGGGATCTTCTGACCCGGGTCAATCCAGACCCGGGTCAGCGGGAAAACAAAAACAGAAATGCAAAACAAAAAAACTGCAACGCAGATCTTCGCAAACCCGGGTTAGCCAATATGTGCGGCCGCCTCGCGGCCACGAGCGGCTCGCTAACCCGGGTCAGCCAGAGGGGGTCTCCCGGGGTCTTCGCAGGATCCTGCAGGATCTGGTGTCCTGGCTGACCATCGCTTGCATTGACCCCCGTCTCAAGGCTCCCGACCGGCGCCGTGAAAAAGCGTTTCGGGCGCCCCTCCCTCGGGGCACCCTTCCCTCCATGACGCGCGGCACTGCACTGCCGCTCGAGACTCACGCGGGAGGCCCAAGCCGGCCCAAGACGGCTCGCAGCATATCCTCCATAGGGTTGTGGATGCCAGGACAATGGACGCTCCAACACTCCTACCATTGAACTAAGCGTGTGCTTAAAATGTGTAGAAAGCATGTTCGAACAATGTTTCAGACAAGGTTTGACGTGCAAAAAAACATATTTGGAACATGCTGTAGACACCTGGAAATCATTTGGCAGCATGCTTCCTCTCCGTTATATCGACCTCCACAGTCACGGGGCTCCCGAGGGGCTCGAGACGGCCCGCGGGAGGGCTCCAGGCCGCCCGCGAGAGGCTCCCCGAGACGGACCACAGAGGCCCCGCGCGGACCGGAGGGGTCTCGAGGCGCCTCAGATAGGGGGGTCCCCAGGGGGCTGCCCAGAGCACCCAGAAGTGCCCCAACAGGCCTCCAACAGAGCTCCAAGATTGGGTCGGGCCCGTCCCCCTATTGGGGGATCTTGGGCGAAACATGGAAAGTACTCAAAAGATATGCCAAAAATGCTCAAAAATGGTCCACAATCGTCCCCAGACTATTTGTGGCCTATCTTTGACTATTCCCCCTGGAAAGGGACAGTCCCGACTTAGCTCCAAAACAGTCCCTCACTCTGGACCTTGGGCCCCGGAAACGGCAAGGCCGTTTTTCAACCGTTTCCAAAAAAAATGTCCATTAAAAATGGAAACGGCAAAAAAACGGCGACCAAAAACGGCAAAAAAGAGGATTGGAACCGGAGCCGGAACCGGTCAAAAAACAGCGACGGAACCGGCAACAAAAAACGGCGTCGGAACCAGCAAAAACGGCAGAACGGAACCGGTAACAAAAACGGCCCTGTCGTTTCCAGGGCCCACTAAGCTCTGGACCCCTCGTACTCCCCCAGTCGCCCGGACAGCGCGCCGGGGAACCAGAAGTCGGCCACACTCGAGGCAGTTTGGCAGCGACTCCTGGCCGCAAATGCCCGCTTTCTCCACGCGGGCAGTGGGCGGTGGCGACTCACCGCAGGCGTCTTCCATAGATGAACCACATGTACACGGCCTGCATGTTGAGCATGAAAAGGCAAGTTGCAACCGGGTGCAACAGGACACTCACGGCGGCGGACTCCAGGATGGCCCGCGAGACGGGCGAGGCGGTCCCCTCCTCCTTGGCGGGATGGACCGTCATCATCACGCACCACCAATATCCCTTCCCTTCCATCCCCCTCCTCATCCCTCACCAATCCTCCCACCCTCCATCCTCCCACCTCCTCTTCCATTTTGGACGACCGAAATGGATACGGAGTCAATGGGCACAATGCCCAACAGCAAATGTTGTCCCGAACCAACAGCGGCCGCTGTTGGGCGGGCGGCCGTCTGTCTCGAATGGGCACAGGCCGCGGCGGCGTGGACAGCGATTCCTGTTCAGAATGAGCAAGAACTGCTGTTGGGCATTGTAACCACTCTTTCCGTGCCCATCTCGGGCGTCCAGATCCATCACTGCCCCGTTGGTTGCTTGCACCCGGCGCGGGGGGCCGCAGTGGGCCTCCGGAGACCCAATCTCCCCTCCCAAGATCAGCCGTCTGGCTTTGTCTGGCTCCTGGGGTTCTGGACAGCCCCGTGTGATTTTCTCAACCCCGCTTCCTCCTCGGAGGAAGCGGGTGCCTCGCCGTAGCCGTCGTCGTCGACGCCCTCCACCTGCGACAGCTCGCAGACCACCGCCTTATACTTCCTGCGGCTCCCCCAAGCCGAGTGGCCAACCGTCGACGCCGCCGACACAGGAAGACAACATTCGGAATGCGGATGCCGGCATCCCTTGAGGAAGGCGTCCCCCGTCCCCAGCTTTTTCCGCGCCAGTCTCTGGGCCCCGTGGGCCCAGGAGGACCTCGTGAGGTGTGCCCTTGGGGGCCTCCCTGGAAATCCTGCGGGCACCTTGGGTCAGGGACACCTCCGGCAACTTCCGAGGAATGATCGGGGAGACGTAAGACTCGGGTACGGGGGACTCGGGTTGGCCTGACGGGGACCATCATAAAAATGACGAGACCCAATCTGAAATTTGACGCGGGCTCCCGCTGCAGACATCCCACGAAAACGGGACAGTCAAAATCCAGGACGCGCTCGTCAAAAAAAAAGTCGGCAAGCCCGAGTTCCGGCTTACTCGAGTCTTACGTTTCCCCGAAATGAGCCCCAGGGGCCCCGCGAGTCCTGATGTCATCGAGCCCAGGGACCAGCGCCAGCGACACGCCGCCCGCGAGGACCGCCGTGCAGCTCACGAGGAGGAGGAACGCCGGCAACGACAGGCCCAAGGCCGAGTCGGCCCACACAGCCTCGGCAGATCTACTCCGACTGCGACGACTACAACGTATCGGGGGATTAATGGGCCCTGGAAACGACAGGGCCGTTTTTTTCCCGGTTCCGTTTTACCGTTTTTTTGCCGGTTCCGACGCCGTTGTTTCACCGGTTCCGTCGCCGTTGTTTGACCGGTTCCGGCTCCAGTTCCGATCCAGGAACCCTTTTTCTTGCCGTTTCCGGTCGCCGTTTTTTTGCCGTTTCCATTTTCAATGGGCACTTTTTTGGAAACGGTGAAAAAACGGCCCTGCCGTTTCCGGGGCCCACAAAGATCAGGGGGGCGCAGAGGGGGATGAGTCGACGACGTCGGTCTCCCGATCTCGTCGCATCGCCGATGCCTCGGCGTTGCCATTGTTGCTGCTGCCACCGCAACCACAGGTCTGGATGCCGCAGCTTTGGTCTCATGCGTGCCGCCACATCGCCAGGCGGAAGGTTACAGAATTGACCACTCTCGCCATCGCAGGGACGGCCATTCCTCGTGCATGGTTCGATGTCGTGCGCTTCTGACTTCGCAGGATGGTCCACTATGCTTCTCGGTGGTCCTCACCGAGGAAAACAAGCCCACGTCCGAGCGATGCCGAGGCCAAAAGGGTGCAGAATTGCCCATGCTGTCTTGCCCGACTACCCCACAAGTCATGGGGGAGGGGGCGTCGCAGATGCACGGGGAAGGCAAGGGGGGGCCAAGGGGGCAAAGGCCAGGATCAGCAGGTGGCATCTTTAGAGGCCTCCTAGATGGGGCCAGAGTAGATGGGGTCGGAGGACCGCGCCGCATCGCCGATACATCGGCGATGCATCGGCGATGCACTGGCGATGAGCCGTCGACGTCGGCGATGCATCGGCGACGTCGGCGTAGAGAAAATCGGGATCCGCATCGAACCGCATCGCCGATGCATCGGCGATGCGGAGGCATCCTCCGACCCCATCCATTCCGACCCCATCTAGGAGGCCTGGAATCTTCGCCGTCGTTGTTGCCCCTCCCCCTGCCCCGGGCGGGCGGAGGAGCACCTCCGCAGACTGCTTCCGCGGAGTGCCTCCGGACTCGGATCCTCCCACCGCCTCCTCCTGCTCCGCTTCGTGCCGCCACCTCCTCCGCCGCTTCCCCCCCTCGCGCCTCCTCTACAGCCAACGGGCCCTCGCTCGCGGCCAAGGGAGGCAAGCAAGAGGGAGAGAGGAGGGGCAGTACGGGTAGAAGGCTCGTCTCCTGTTTCCCTTCCGATCCTCCACTCAAGCCTCCACCCATCGACACTTCCCTCCATGGAGCCGACTGCGTCGGAGGATGACACTGCATCGCCGATGCAATGCCGATGCGTCGGCGACGTCGGGATGAAGAAAATCGGCTCGCCGCATCGCCGATACATCGGCGATGCGTTGCCATGCGATCCTCTGGCCCCATCTACTACTCTGACCTCGTTGAGACGGCCTGAACCTCCTGGCCATTGAGCACGTGCGGCCGTACGCCATGGCAATTAAACCCTAGACTTTCAATACACCGCTCGCCACGACCACAATCCCGCCCGACAAGCTCTGCATCGACACGATCACGCCCGACACCATGCCCTGGCTCTCCTGCAGGCGGAGATCGGGTAAAGGAATGCATCACCGCATCTTAGAGAACACCCGACAGCATCCAGACAGGTGTAGTCAAGCACACACGGTCACCATAAACGTTTGCCGAGTCATCCCCTATCGAGAGAATGTGTACAGGGCAGGTTTTAATACATAGGATTGTTAAACATATAAGATTTGTTATTGCATGAGTAATGTATGAATGACTGTATGCATGAACTCATCGCTGCTTTTAATACTACTCCCTGCATTTGTAATACATGATCCGCACGCGGAGCATGTATTGAACACGGCGCTGTATGCATTCGAGCACATCGGAATGCCTGCTCGAGCTCCAGGGGCGACTGCAATACCACCAGCCCTCTGGGCGGGCGCAGGCCGTGAAACGAGTTTGCTCTTCCCATTTCTGGATATCCCCATTTGTCCCCTGAGTCGGCGAGGGATCTACCACTCCCCCCTTCCCTCCCCCTCTGGTTTCTGTTTTGGGGGGGAAAGAGGAGGAGGAGAAGGACGGGGGAGGAGGAGGAGGAGGAGGAGGAGGAGGAGGAGGAGGAGGAGGAGGAGGAGGAGGAGGAGGAGGACGGGGGAGGAGGAGGAGGAGGAGCAGGAGGAGGAGGAGGAGAAAAGGAGGAGGGGGAGGAGGAGAAAAGGAGGAGGAGACGGCCCTTTGTCAGGGCCAGGGTGGCTCCAGGGACCCTCGCCGCCCCGAAATGGCCTCTGGGACGGCTCCAGACGGCGGGAGAGGGTTCGGCATAGCCTAAGACTGACTACCTACCAGACCACCCCAACCCAACCCGAAGACCCGAATTTCGGGTTGGGGGGGGTATGGGTTCCACATGTGTGTTTTCGATGTTTCCCGACCCCCCCCAAACTGGAAAGGGATGGCAAATCGGGGCCTTCGGGTTGGGTTGGGGTGGGTTGGTGGGTGGTGAAAGACATACCTCCTGCGTAAGAGCCCCGAGATGGCCACACGCCCGCTCCCGAAGAGCTTTGCTCTCAAGGAACCCCCTTTCTCGCCTTGTTCCCCCTTCTGAGGGTCGGATCACGCCTTCAAGTTGCCCCAGGAAGAACTCGAGACAACCGAACACTTAGAGCTCCGTCGGAACGGTCAGGGCGTCTTTACTTTCTCATGTTTGGTTTTCCGCTTTTGGAAAACCGAATACTGAACTGGCCCTAAACTCGAACATGGAAACGAACAATCAACAACAAAAACACCACCAGGAAACGAACACGGAACACGAACGCTGAACACGGCGCCCGCCAAAACCTGCCGGAGCCCCCCCAAACGGAACAAAAAAATATCCAGGCGGAGGGCCCAACCAGATGCAGCTGTGAGCACCGCAACTGTGAATGTCTTCTTCGGCGGAGCTCCCATGTGGGACCACGAACCGTTTGAGGAACGTGCCGAGGTGTGTCGGCGGTGAGGCGACGGCCCCCCCGTCCTCCGACGCTCCCGCCCCCCCCGCCTGCGGAACCCCCGGGGCCCTCGACCATAGACGACGACGACGACGACGACGACGACGACAACGACGACGACCACGGCGACGACGGCGACGACGACGACAACGACGACGGCGGCGGCGGTGGCGACAACGACGACGACGACGACGAAATCGTGCCGCCCGTCGCTCTCTGGGAGCAGGGCCCCCGAGACCGTCAGAACTCAACCGAGGACGAGAAAACAGCACTAGGGAAACTATCGGACCACCGGGAGCCACCAGGGACCTCGCATTGAAAGAATCACGACGCAGGATCCCTGGGGCACTCGGTAAGGCTCCCGGTATGGCGATGGGGCCACAAACGAAACGTGTGAGGGGTGTGCCGCAGTGGGTGCGGCGGACGCATGTGGACGGTGCCACTGGGGCACTGAATCGAGCTCCCTGCGGGGCCACCAAGCGTGTGAGCGGTGTGTCGGAATCGGTGCGGCGGACGCATGAGGACGGTGGCAGCGGGGTCTTCGGTGGAGCTCCATATGGGGCCACGAAATGTATGAGGGGTGTGCCGAAATGAATATGGTGGACGCATGTGCACGGCGAAACTGGGGCCTTGGGTGGAGCTCCCTTTGGGGCCACGAAGCGTGTGAGGAGTGTCCCGAAATGGGTGTGGCGGACGCGTGTGGACGGTGG